GAGGAGGGTTTTAATACTTGGTCATCGGGACTGTCTAAAGATGCTTCTTGCGGCTCCTGAACAAATAAACCAAGATCAGTATACTGTCGAGTGTCGTGAGCTAGTATTGGCGACATTGGCTGCAGTGGGCTTGGAGCGCGGTGTGTGTGGTGTGACTACCTGGTTGCTGGAAACGTCTGAAGTTGCTCCCTGCGACCGATGAACAACTAGACCTTGACCACTATCCTGTCGAGTGTCGCGAGTTATTTTTCGAAAAAATCGCTGCATTGGGCCTGGAGCTCGGTGTTAATGGTATTATTGCTTGGTTGCCGGAAATGTCTGAAGTTGCTCCCGGCGACGACTGAACAACTAGAACATGATCACTATCCTGTCGAGAGTCGTGAGGTAGTTTTGGCCACATTCGCTGCAGTGAACCTGGAGCTCGGAGTGGGTGGTGTTATTGCCTGGTCGTTGGAAATGTCTGAAGTTGCTCCCTGCAACGACTGAACAACTAGACCATCATCACTATCCTGTCGAGATTCGTGAGGTAGTTTTGGCCACATTCGCTGCAGTGGGCCTGGAGCTCGGATTGTACGGTGTTACTGCTTGTTCTTGGGGAATGTCTAAAGTTGCTTCTTGCGTCTCCTGAACAACTAGACCATGATCACTATCCTGTCGACAGGCGTGAGGTGGTTTTGGCCACATTCACTGCAGTGGGCCTGGATCTCGGATTGTATGGTGTTACTGCTTTTTCTTGGGGAATGTCTAAAGTTGATTCTTGCGTCTCCTTATAACTAGACCATGATCACTATCCTGTCGAGAGGTGTGAGGTAGATTTGGCCACATTCTCTGCAGTTGGCCTGGAGCTCGGAGTGGGTGGTGTGATTGCCTGGTCGTTGGAAATATCTGAAGTTATTCCCTGCGACAACTGAACAACTAGACCATGATCACTATCATGTCGAGAGTCGTGAGGTAGTTTTGGCCACATTTGCTGCAGTGGGCCTGGAGCTCGGAGTGCACGGTGTTAATGCTTCGTCATCGGGACAGTCTAAGGTTGCTGCTTACGTCTCCTTACCAACTAGACCATGATCACTATCCTGTCGAGAGGCGTGAGGTAGTTTAGGCAAAATTCTCTGCAGTTGGCATGGAGCTCGGGGTGGGTGGTGTGACTGCCTGGTTGCCAGAAATGTCTGAAGTAGCTCCCTGCGACCACTGAAGAACTAGACCATGATCAATATCCTGTCGGGTGTCGTGAGGAAGTTTTGGACAAATTCACTGCATAGGGCCTGGAGCTCGGTGTTAATGGTGTTACTGCCTGCTTGTTGGAACTGTCTGAAGTTGCCCCTTGCGTCTCCTGAACATATAGACCATGATCACTATCCTGTCGATAGTCGTGATGTAGTTTTGGCCACATTCGCTGCAGTGGGCCTGGAGCTCGAATTGTATGGTGTTTCTGCTTGTGGTTGGGGACAGTCTAAGGTTGCTGCTTACGTCTGCTTACCAACTAGACCAAGATCACTATCTTGTCGAGAGGCGTGAGGTAGTTTTGGCCACATTCTCTGCAGTTGGCATGGAGCTCGGGTTGGGTGGTGTGACTGCCTGCACGTTGGAACTGTCTAAACTTACTCCTTGCGTCTCCTGGACAACTAGACCATGATCACTATCCTGTCGAGGGTCGTGAGGTAGTTTTGACAACATTCGCTGCAGTGGGCCTGGAGCTCGGAGTGGGTGGTGTGACTGCCTGGT